ACAATTGTCCTTAGTCGTCAAGTTATCAACTACATCCTTATGATGTTCACAGAAAGAACTCAACAAGTAACTCCTCTTAACTTCATCATCATCAAGAAAGTCGGCTAGCTTGTGGCGGTTCGAGTTTGAAGATTCTCGGGCTAACGATGTTAACCGATCATACTCCGTCTCAAATTCGTCGATTACCGAACTGACAGTGCGACTTGGATCGTATGCATTTGCGAGGAGCGCAACCGATCTAAGTTGGTGGATCAATGTAAAAGAGCTGTTCTGGTGGTACTGCTCTTTCAAATACTTCCACATCAAGTGAGGGTCTTTGAGTTTTAAGATCTTGCCAAGGATCTTTGAACCGACGACCTGAATATATATATTTACAGCAATACTCGAAAGCTGGCTGTATGCTCCTTTTTCTTCAGGCGAAGCGTCCTTGTCCGGCTTTTTGCCGTCGACTACAATCTTGTTGAGTCCCTGCCCTTCAATTACTGCAGTCATTGTAATGGCCCACAACTCATAGGTTTCAGGACCAGTGAGGTGGGTTACATTGGTTAATGACATTGCGCGCAAGTAGTTGGTTCCGAGTCTCGAAGCGAAGAAGCCGGTTTTCGAAGACGAGGATTCCATTTCTGTTGAGCGGTTAGAAGACTTCTTTAGAGATGAGGATGCTTAATAGTGATGGAATCTTTTTGCTTTTAGGGGCACCGGGTCATAACCTGTTAAGCGGATTGGTTTGCAAAAGCTTGTGGCTGTCAGGCACAGATTGTATCACTTGGTGAAGCGAGTGGGAAAGTAAAGGAGTCTGTAAATCTGTCGCGGAGAGTTGTTAATTACTCCCACTAGGACACAGAGTGCTATATAAACTATATTTTGTAATAATAAAATCTAGTGGTTGGTATTTACGTCAAAGCGCATTAATACTAACCTCACAATTAATGGGAGATTAGTAATGTGTATTCTACACATCCCTGTCTTTACCATAATTGGAAGCACCAATTTCAACATCTATAATCAACTATCTACAAGCGCAGTATTTATAGACCATACTCCATTTACATACGAGTAGCAGAGTCAGTATTGAACCCCTAGGTAACCTCATTTTATAATAAAATCACCAAGTGGATGTATGACCTTTGTAGGAAAACAGCCGATAGGGTGATGGACTTGCAAGCAAGATATAGTAGCACAATCTATTACTGAAACGGAATATATGGCAGCAGAAGAAGGATCAAAAGATGCAGCATGGACCAGTCAGATGCTTGAAGAATTACACATAAATCAAATCTGAGTTATACCAATGCTGATAACTGATTCTGAAGGAGGCTATAAGCTCTCAAAGACGAACAAATTTGCACGAAGAACAAGGCATATAGAAGTTCGACATCATTACCTTGGACAACAAATTCAAAATTGGAACCTGATTATCAAAACAATACCCGGAAAGGAGAATCTAGCAGACCCGTTGACAAAATTGCTACCAAAAGCCAGGATTGGGGATTGGAGGATAGAAATTTCAATGAATGGATAATTAGCTAATATATTATAGTACAGGAATACTCGAGTAGGGGAGTGTGTAGGAATACCCTTGCATACAGTACCCTAATCTGCTTGGAGTAAACTTAACCCTGAAACTGATCAGGAAGGAGCTTTGGACTAGTCATGAGATGGAACACTATTCTGGCGAGGAGTTCCTTTGGGAGAATTGTCAGTGGATAGAGGTAGTTACAATATATATACTCAATATAATATATTTGTTAATTCGCCCCAAAGAAAATCTACAGTAGCGGTCGCTCTAATATTAGGGAACAACAATATCCTTACAACAAAACGTTGTATAAGTCTATTCACTGTCACCCATAGCTAATAGCTTACTAAGACCGCACCACTCTCCCACTATAGCTTCCGTGTTGCTCATAATCATAATACTAAGGCTATAAGGAAGCGGGATTGGGAGAGGAATACTATAATAATATTATAAGATTGTGAAGCTGGAGAACTACTTTGTTGTAGCTCCAGCTTCCTTAAGTACAGATAGCTATCCAAGAAAATTCAACTAAGACTATAGTAATTTCTCATCGTAACTCAAACTGTGACCTCAACCATATCAATTCCGGTTGGCGCATTATCTAGTCTCACCATATAAGTGCAAGTGTTGAGGGTAAGCTTTCATGGATAAACGTAGTAGGAGCTAGGATGGTGTCATGGGAATTTCCATTATAAAACACAACTCGGGGCTAGATCAAGTTCTCAAACCATTAGGACAGACTCAGGAACATAGGGTCGTTTCATGGGGATTGCGTAGTAATACTGTTTGAGATAGAGCTTAGGGCCGTCCCATTATCTGATGTACATATATACCCAGCGTGAAGAAGAATACTCCTTCACACAAAGTCTTCTGTTTATACTCATACCTATTGTTCACATACTTGTCTCTTCTCCAAAAAAAGACCGCCATTATTGTACCAACCTCGCCATTACTCACTTTACCTTTACCTCCTCTGTGAACCCTATATCTTAGGCTGACTTTATACCTCCTTGTAGGAATTACAACAATACTCCACACCTATACCCTACTTATACCCTACGTAGTACCGATAACACAGTGCCTTGAGATGAGCCGAAAACCCTGTTCCGTGAACTCTATCCTCAGAGCCTCTGCTTAGACTCTGGTGCAAGAATATCTCACCATGACAACTCCTATGCCTCCCATATAGATCCTATCAAACAGTACCACTCCTCACAAGTCCTTGTTCGATCGTTCATTTCAGGAGTCCTTTGCTCATCATCATCTCCCCTCACCAGCCAACGAATTGATGGCCATTTGCGGGAGTGTGGCAGCCAGGAGAAATCGCCAAAAATCTCTCGGTGCGTATAACAGCTGATGAACCGACAGTAAGCCCTGTAGCCTACGTTGGCCAACGCAGGTATGCTTTCCACCCGCTGTGACGTCAGGTAATGGAAAACTCTCTCTACTGCTCGGACTAGCAAACACTCGGACAGTCGCAGGGAGGATTGCTTCGAGCACGGGGAGTGACATAATCAGAGAACTTTGTGGTGGACTGTGTGCCAGAACATCTATTGAGAAAGTTAACAGCACTTAGATGGGCTCAGAGAGAATTGTTTCGGGCACGGTAAGACTGGTTGAAAGGTAGCCAAGTGATATGGCGAGTGTCAGGAGTTTACACCAATGCAGAAACCTAAACTCCCCGTAGGTACACCTGTCCGCTCTTAGGAATAGATGCAGGCCACGTATTGGAGGAGAGCACGGGTATAAATAAGCCCTTCTTGTACATACATATTCTCTCATTAGAAGAATTGTAAACTAATGATCGTGCATCTCAAGCCAACTTGGAAACTTCCCCCGACTGTCACAGTGCGGGGCTCTTCTAATACCGACATTAGGACTAGATCCGAAGACATAGTGACCCTTCTAAAGCGTTCGAAGAGACCGGCCAGCTAGGCGCTGCAGACTTGTAGGTACTTTGGGAAACTCAACCTCTGCCTTTCTAGCCTCCTTCCAACTCCTTCCCGAAGGTCGTGCTGAAATGTCAGAAAAGTCTTGACAGAGCGTGAATGCTGTATGGTAGCTTAGCCTTACTTCTTTTGTACCGTCCAGGGCTCTGGAAAGTGCTGTTGACTCCGCAATAGAAGTCCTCCTGGCTAATTAGCCAAAACCTTGATCTTGGCGCCCACAAACGTTCCAAAGTCGAAGATATCTCGAAAATATCAGTTCCATCATTCCCCCAAGAAGTCTCTTCCTTGTCTCAATTTACGTCCCAGTGATCTATCTTTCCTCAAGAGATATAACCCTACAAGATCAATAGTTCCTCATAGACCAAGACCCGAGATTTAAATAATATTATTTACTTTCCTCCTTGTGGGTGTACGTGGCGGCGTAAATTTGGTAGTAGGTGATAGCCAGTAACGAATTAGGCAAGCACCTGCTTGCAATTGGAGTAACGCCTTTATCGGTATTTGAGGCGAGGTAGTGAGTGGTAAGGTTAATGTAGGACTCTTATGAGAATGAGAAGACCGGCATTGATGAGAAGCCTCCAATTATAGATGTGTTTGCTTTTAACTTCAATTCGGACGCGATTATTCTTAGCTATCCCAGATATGCAGAGCATATTGAGCGATCACACCGGCCCAATTTGAAGGTGATCAATTCATATTTTTCGGAAAATAATGGCTGTGTTCGGGTGTCTGTTGAAGTTTTTACGCGACGTCGTCGATCTCAGAGGGTTGTATGAGGCACATCATGGATCGGTATAGCCTTGGGTCCGCTTCGTGTTAGGTCTTACAGTAGCGTGTTCAGCGTCGTAACAGCCTCGTCTTCTGTCGGTTGTTGCATCGTCTGTATAAGTGAAAGATTGAAGGGGAAAGATTAAGGTCTTATCAAAGGGTGTGAAAGTATATTTCGTTAGGAGGGCAAAAAAATCGAATAAAACTACCTTTATTCCTCGACAAGTAGTTAGAAATATGGTCATTGAGTTTCTTGAATCCAATATTTGTGTGTTAGGAGTTTGACCAATATTATAGGAGTGCAAAATATTCTAAATTTCATATAAATTATAGTCAAGGTAGCTCTTAGTGTTGTTTAGATAATCTCGTCTCACAGAACCTACGTACCATATAATCGCTGTAGGAACTAGCTTTGATACACCTCTTAAAGATCTTAATTGAAACCTTATAATTCAAGAATTTTTGTTTCCAAGTTGTAGTTTGCTATTCATAGGGTGATGATTGTTAGTCTAAAGAAAAGGCGAGACACCAAACATATTTATGTGAAATTTCGGAGAATGATATCCGAAAAATCCGAGAGCTTTTATCTATAGATGCAAAATGTGTTAACATAAAATTCGGTAGCAAAAACCCCATTCTCCCTTGGAAGAACAATTTTGAAAGTACATATCACTGAGTAACTAATCTGTCGGTTTAATCTATAAAACCCTGATAGAGGAGCGCACCAGTTGCAAATATTTCTCGTAGCCCTCAATCTTCTGTCTTTACGATTTCCCGGAATAATCTCTGGTCCATATTTTTACCCACTCGTCTTGATCAACAGCAAACTCCTTGAGATATTCACATTCCAATTCGTGAGTTCTTTGCCCGAGTAACACAAGACTGTGTAATGGCTTTCCGAGTGCCTCATCTACATGACAAAGCTGTTTCAAGGTTCCACATATAAATTTTTCTGTCTTAGATCCAACCCTAGCCGCACCGACGGCGAGGCTTTCCTCGTTGTAAATCCCACCTTCCCCGATAACAGTTTTCTTCTCGTCAATCGCGAGCATCTGAAGTGCGCATTGGCTCACAGTCATGTATCTTGGTTCTTCGTATATTTTACGACCTCTTGCCATGTTTTCTAGGCTCTGTTCCTTGACTTTGATGTCTAGAAGAACTAAAGTGTGTAGTCCCGAATCACGATTTTCTTTGATACGATCGTAAAATGAAGCCGGCATCCACGTTTCCGTAAAAAATACCATCGATACAGTCTGTCCGAAATTGTAGAGCTGTAGACCAGTAGCACCTATTGCAGACAAAATACTCGCATTCGGAACAGACGAGACACGAATATTGAGCTTGCGTGCGCGTAGAACAAGATCTGTATGAGTGGTAGCGCCAAAAGGATCTCCTACAACGAGGAATGCTACGTCGAGGGTCTTGGCATCTTGCAATATTTGATTGTCGTCGCACTCAACCATTTCTCGATCAGCAATAATGACATCCCGCCCGTAGAAATTTTCCTACAGGGAATCAGCCATTTACCTCCCTACATGTCTCTAACTGAGACGCAACATACGAGAACGCATCTATCTACGAGAAGAATACTAGTGTACGCTTCCAGGTAGACTCGATCCACTCGACGCACAATATCTAGGCCTTTCACGGTGATGTCTGTTTCATCTGAGAGTCCGATTCCAATGATATGAAGCATGGTTACTGTCAATAACGAGATTGTTTATTAGGCCAATGCGTAGAAGGCGACCATTTGCTTCCAGTTGACTTATGATGGACTCCGAACCTATATAGATCTTATCTCGTAACTTGCGTTTCTTCAACTAAGAATCGTATCAGATAGGGGTTGTGATTCCGAGCGGAAAATGCCTTGCCTATTCAAAATGTGCGGCATTTGGACCGGTCCCCTAGCCGTGGAGGACAATTTCACCGATAGGCCCCACACAAGAATTAATGTGTGGGACCCACGCGACCCACAGCCGTCCAAGCTACATCGCAACGACTACATCCCCCTCTGCAACGTCCAAGTACAACGCAGTACATGCAGCTATCATACAGAATGGTGGAGCCCAAGAAAACTGTATCTGGTGTATCCGACACTGATTTTCGAAAAAAATACGATAGGGCCGAGTATGCGGCAAAAGCCTTTGAACGTGAAGCCAAAGAAAAAGAGGAAGGCAAAGCGCGATATGAAGCCAAACTTGCCGGCAAGAAATACTACGCGCCCCTCACCGGAAACGAAGCCCTCACGCAGGCCCGGGCTGCGCGGCTCGATGTGGCCAGCAACGTAGGAAAGACAGTGCTTCTACCTGCGGGTGCCGCAACTGGCAAGAGAGGAAGGGGAGCTGGTTTCTACTGCAAAGATTGCGATTTGACATTCAAAGACAACTTACAATGGGTGGAGCATGAGAATAGTATGCAACATCTAAGAGCTATCGGACAGACTGGTGAGGTCAAACGAGCTACAGCAGAAGAAGTACATGATCGTATCACACGGATATGGGATATGATTATAGAAGAAAAAAAAGGCGATGTGAAAACTCTTGATGAAAGACTGGAGCTTAGAAAGGAAGAAGAAGATCGACAACGAGAGGAAAGAAGACAGAAGAGGAAAGATCTTGTTGAAAAAAAGAAGATGGAGAAGGAGCTTGAAGTCAAGATTAAGACAGAATATGGTGAAGATGTTCGTATAGAAGGAGAACATGATGAAGATGATATGATGGAAATAATGGGAATCGGTGGATTTGGTTCATCCAAGAAATGATACCGACCTGCTTTTGAAATGTAATTAGCGTTGGCGTTAGGAAGCAGGAAATATTTCTGTAAGTCAGATAAAAAGTATATAGCCCATTGACAACCGTTAACTTTGATCAGTCTAAAATTTATTCACATGTTCTGGCTAAAAAATTCTACATGAACTCAACGGTCATCATGCAAAACCAATACTCAAATTATATACACTTAAAGGCCTTACAAAGTTCAACTAATGACCTACTTTGGTCTGAAGCTCAATCAAATTCATAATAATTTTCATCGGGCACCTTTCTCCTGTGATAAAGTCATGGTTGCTCGAAACATAATGACCTTGGCCCAACTTCGAGACTTCCTACTCTTCGCAACCATCCAAATTAATAAACAGTATTATCTAGCAATGCTTACTCACCAATAATGCTGGCGGAGCTGGGTGTTTCTTTTCAATTGTGGCCAAAAAACCCGGACTTTACTACCATATTCAAATAAGATTAATTTCATCAAATAACGGTCAGAAGACGCAAATTACGTGTTGGCTCTCGGCCAGACGATACATATACATTTGGGTTTGAATGGAAAAAATCTTGTAAAAGCTATTTTTTACTACATTACGTATTTATTTATGCATTCCTAGCTCGAACTTCTAATCATAGCTTTAATACCTAGGCTGATTGGTAAAGGTACGCGGAGTAATGTACAAAAATATTTAACTTTCAGATGAATACAGGGTTTGACGAGTGATTTCCGCCAGGACAATATTTATAAAGCTAAATATGGGTCTAAAACTATTAAAAAGAGATGACCAATTCTACAGCTACTTTGACAAGCTGCGCCTAGAAGATTATGGAAAGCTAGCAAGAGCCTAGCTTTAGTCAAACTGGGTTTAGAAGACATTATCAGCAGGTGAAATGGTGTGATCCTTTCTTTCCCAATATAATATGAGACTATATCAGAAAATTTTGGCCCTCTCCACCCCTGACAGGAATATCTATTGCTTTGTTAGTGTATTTTCTCTCAAGTCTCCTTCGAGACCTGCATCAGACGGTAATGTTCTCAAAGGTCTCTGTCGGGATACTTACACACGGTGCAAAGAACGTAAACTGTATATTACCTTTCTGCGGCTATGTTACTGGATCTTATTCCCATACTTTAGCCCACTGAAGCAAACCTGGCTAGATATCGCGTAAACTCCCAGAGGTAAGTTACCTCGATCAAAAAGTGACAAAAAAACAAGTAGATAATGGTTAAGACACTATATCTCCAGTAGAAGAGACTAGGGAGCGAAGCTTGAGGCAAGCAGTTTATATTTATCTCTGGTTATTTGGTTAAGCACAAACTTGGGGACGTGTTATCAAGTCTTTTACAAAACGAGCTTCCGTAGATATTTCACTCCATCAGTTGGCACAATTGACGAAGGAATAGGACGTAACTGGGTTTGAAAGGATTGAAGAAACGGTGTATGATATTTTAGAAGGAATTTAAACCTGATCAGGAGACTTCTAAATTTCACAGTTGGTGCTAGGGGATACTAAGTAATCAATTGAGCTTTGCGAGCTCTATAAAGATGTATAATTATGCTATAGTACAAAGGATATCCAGGTCTTACAGCGAAGATAAAGTCAGTCTTGGTTATGCAGTTGACCAATTTAGGTCTACACTTATATGCGTGACTTAATCCCTCAACAACAAAACGTGCGAAGCCGTTTTATCAGAGCGACACCTCTAATATAGGCTCAAAATCACTAAATCTCCCAAGTTGCCAGAGTTACTTTTTATTTATTCTAATAGACACTGAAGTTATCGACAGGAGTGGACGTAAGGCGTAAGGAGCCCAATCACCCCGTCCGGCGGTCAAGACGTTCTTACCGCCAAGTAGGCCTACAGGCTACTGTCAATCTCCCCATAATCAACCCTCATACAAAGTTTGACCTAACCTACGCGTCAAGCTATACCTGTTCCATATTTTGTTGACTGTCAAAAAGCTTATACCCTACCCATTTATTTACAAAATTTACCAAAAGTTTCCAAACTCCACCCGAGTAAAAGGAATTATGTGAAAGTAAGATAGCTAGAAATCTGTTCATCGCTTAGACTTTCTCGGTGATGCAATTTTCTGCTCCATATGCGCAAATTTTAGTCCAAGTTGCGCCCGAAGGTTTGTCATTTGCTTCTGCCTGTCTTCATCTCGTTGCCGCAATATTTCTAGCTCATCTGCGTACTGCCGCACAATAGTATCGAAACGTTGCTCAACTTTTAACATGAATGACTTGGTCGTTTCTTGTTGTATACGAACCTGACATTCAAGCTTCTGCACAACACGTCGGCCAGAATCACTTGGGTTGTTGTTACCATTATTGACTTGAGTATTAATCCAGACCTTTTGTTTTAAAGATGTGATCTCATTTGTATGGCGGTCAATAACCTTGAGCCAGCAGCTCAAATCATCAACTTTCTCCTTGAGTTCTCTACGAAGCATGTCAAGGCCTTTTTCCTGCCGTTCGAGACGGCTCGTAACATCTTCTCGCTGGGTGCTTCCCGACATCGCATCGATAGCGCCTTCCATAATATCACTGATTGCTTTGCCCTGCATAGCATCCTTTTGAAGGAGCTTAATCGCATCGTCATGCCGGATAAACGAGCGCACAAGAGCCTGCGTTCGATTCGCACCCGTCTCGACTTGACGGCCAATATCAGCTAGAGTCTGTTGAAGAGTTTTCAAATCAGATTCGACCGAATCAAATCTATCGCCAACGTTTCCGTTTGATAAGCGATGAGGCTCTGCTTTATTCGCTAGCTCTCCAGGTTTGTCTACATCAATTGAAATCGTTTTTCCTAGGTCGACAGAAGAGCTAACCTGGTTTTTTGAGTCTGGAATGTGCCTCTGATAGCGCGGTTCGGGGCTTTTGCGGAGTTCCTGGGTTGTAATCGCTTGGACAGGGAATTGTGATGTTTGTAGTTTGTGGTCTTGAGTAGATTCAGAGAGTATGGGATGTGAGCTTAGTTCTTGGAGCTTCTGTCCTGTGTGGGACGCCTTGCTCATGTAATCCGATACACTCGTGTATCCCTGGCGCGCTAGTATAGCCTCAAGTTTTTTGGTTCTCTTCGCGGTTTGGGATGTCTGTGTGGGAGATTTTCCAATTTTTTGTAATCGTGATAATACATTATAGGTATGTTCAGGTGATTCTAAATGTAACCTGAAGTTATCATCTTCCAAATTATTAATCAACTTTACACATTCGTGACAAATTATGTAATCGCAGTGTACTTGAGCGGCGGCACTTTCAGACACAGGATGTAGGCGCCCCTCGGTTAGATCATCTGGATATTCAAGACGACATACACACCGACTGCAGCCGTGACATATGTTTACGAAAGGGCTTTGAGGTTCAACAATAACTTCTTTTTTTTGCTTTCCACCTGATGCAGGTTGTACAGAATTAGCCCTGGCTATTGGGTTCTCTTCCGTGCTATCTTCCGTGAAGTTGATATACTGGGCCCGATGAAGATCTCGTGAGTCAGACATGCTAGAACTCTCACTTGCATCATAGCTACTGCGTTGGTAAATGAAGGGCGGACGAGAATTCTTGGACTGAAAATGATTCTTATCACTCATTCTGTTAACCTCAGTTGGATTCTGGGATGGTCCAGTTTGTTCGGGGAATTCATGAGGGCGAAGGTTATTTTTGCCAACGATGGAAGGCTGCTTTAGTGGAGAATTCTCTGGGCGGTATTAGCTAGATAGGTGTATGACGGATGACATGCCTTCTTTGGATTCCCTAGCGTTTAGATATCTCTCCAGCCGAGACATGGCTTCATTCAGTAGCCTTGATTCTTCCGTGTTGTTCATGAACTCAAAGTACCACTCTTTCACGTGTGGCCAATTGATTTTTCCAGCTTTAAAGTATGGTGGCCTGAAGTAGTTGGAGTGAAATAGATAGCGCGCGTCGCGATACTCGACATAGTTGGGCTCGTGCATGGGAATCAGAATATTATCCTGCGCAGTATGAGATATAATAGTAATTTACATCGAGTACCCAAGACTTACCTTCTCCATTTGCTTTAAGATTTGAATCCATAGTTTAAACCGTCGCTGGTCAAGCTCCGACTTCTCCATGGGCCAGAAGAACACTCCGCGCCTAGGCAAAAAGGGGCTATCGCATGGGCAGTCGCCATAGCGTGATGCGTGACGATAAGTTTCCACGGCGAAATCCAGATATTCGGAACAAACATCATCCTCCATTTGTAAACGGTCTTGTCTCGGAACTTACCGACTTACGACATCTGTAAGTGTAATGAATGACGAGTAGATGAGTTCGGAGTAGATGTTTGGGCGACTGGAGTCCGCTGGGAAAGAGCGATATCTTGGAAGTTATGTCTACGAATGATATACATTTGTAGTTGTATGGCAGTTGAAACAAATGCTAGAGGAATCGAAGCAATATCGCGTTCCGTCGGGCCAGGGCCACGTAGTCGATTGTCTTAAGCTACACTATGGGGCAAACGTACGGGCGTGAACGGATCTCCCGCTTGCATCATCGGCCAAGGGCGGGAGACAGGGTGCAGCTGCAAATCAGGTGGCACCCTGCTCGCTCAGCGTGGATCTTTTGGTATCAATGAAGAGCAGAGCTGTAGCAGTAGTCATGGATCTCCAGCAAACCGTCCCATGTCATCTCATAAAGCTTTCTAGTATACATCGATATACCTGGAAGATGAGCCCAATCGATCAATATTATTGTGCAACTGGCATTTCCTACACAAGTAGGGAATTTCGCAGAGACTGGGGTGCGGTGAGCTCACATAAACACCTTCCCAATGGTCAGCCGAAATGGGCCCGATTTTGGCGCACCACGTTAAAAAAATCTGCCACTTGGTGTAGATATTCAAAAGACAAACTCTCTATTGTACGAATTATAATCAGCCTCATTATTTAGGCATACTCAGATTTGATGCATTGCCACCGTCGGAGAAACCTGACAATTGGCCATCCGCAGTTACAGCAAATGCTACGATCATGCAAACGCGCAATACGTGAGATCAAAAAGAACCAACTGGAAATTCCCGCCAGAGACTTAAAAGCATACAAGAATTGATGCATAAAATATTTGCGACGTGGATATCACAAGTCGCCATGGGTACTTTTCCTCCTGACCACTGCATGCAAGAGGTTTCCAGACTACGGCTCTGGGCTACCCATGTAACACTTGACAAGGGCCGGGAAATCGGACGTTGTGCCGGGTAAAGGATTACTGAATGACAAAGTTCGGGTGCATATCTCGAGTCTACAGTAGGCAACGTGAACACCCAGTGAATCGAATACCTCGCCACGACAATTTGGACAGCGCGGGTAGGTCTATTAGTGTGATTGGTAGTGGCGCGGGGCGAAGTAAAAAACTCAACTACCTCTATCTCACGGGGCGATACGTTGTCTAAGAACTATGTGCCGATCGATCTTTTCAGCGCACTCTCCGATTGTTAGGGGGACGAAGCTAATCAACTGTCAGTGGTGTCCCCTACGAACCTCATGCTCTCACTGTAGAGTCTACAGAGCCGAAATTGAGTAATACATTATCAACTTTGAGCTGAGTTATCTCCCCCTCTGTCAAAGATACGCTTCCGATAACTCACAAGACGACCAAGACGACCAAGACGACGATAATGATGCTGGGCATGAGGAAAGATAGTGCGGTACCAAACGCTACAACGGTAGTCAGAGAAGCCTTCGTTATATCATAACATGTGCTACCCACTGGCGGGCGAACAAAAAGCCCACGAAAGCAAAATAAAAGACCCTTCCGCCCTCAAGAAAAGCAGATTTCGACTCGTCAAAAATATCGTCCCAACTAATCTATACTTCCGAACATAATACCCAGGAGGGCGTCTGAAATATATGAGCTACTCGATGACCCCACGTCCGTTAAGACTTTTGGATGCTAGGCTAGGCACCTTCACGACATTTACTCTCGACTAAGACTTTTCTGACATCCTTCCACGACCTTCGGTTTGTTCTGCGGCATGAATCAGGGGAGGAGTAAGGAGGAGACTAGGAAGGTTGCGAGACACTATTAGGTATACACATGTCTGCTGCGCCCGGCTGGCCGGCCTCTTCGTCATAGGAGAGCCCCGCATCCAGTGGTTTTTAAAACTTTTCCCTACAGCTACACACCCGCAAATAGTCATCGTTTCGTTGGCTGGAGAGGAGATAGAATGACGGGATAACGGCTCCTCTTAGGGTGTACTCGAATAAAGATCTGTGGGGGTATTACTGCTGGAAAGAAGTCGTGAAGGAGGCATAGATACTCCCGGCCTGTAGGCAGGAAGGACCTTCATATCCTTACATAGTTATAGACCCATTAGGACAATAAATACTCATTCACTTACTCGCTCTCCGAGTATTAAATAAGTAGGGCAAACCCAGATACCCTGGCAACATTTTTCAGGTAGTCTGGGAATTGGGTGACCACCGCGTCCAATGGCTAGTTTCGTTATCCAGTGTTGAGCATGAGTATAGAGTCAAGTTTACTCTATTTCATACCTACAGCAAATCCTTAGACACAATGACTGCGCGCCAACTGACCACAATTACATTTTACAAATTCCGAAGTATTTTAGCAAAATAATAGTGCAATATATTCTGAGAATTACACACAAAGGGTTAATCCATTAATCAGTCACAAGCTTTGCTTCTACATCTTCTTTATGATAGCTACAAAAAAAAATCGAAGTCCTGTGATATACTTGCCATGAAACTTTGTATAGAATGGAGATATTCATTTGCTTTTCATGAAGTAGAGTGAAGTCTGTCTTGGAAGATACACTACCATGCTACCCGAATGTCTGCTGGTTTTTGGAGTTCTTGGTAAAAACTGGACTCAGATGATATCTTTTTTTTTACAAGCAATCTAACGGGTGGATTCGTCTGCTCAATACCACGATCCGCAAGAATAATCCTTCCAAAAGGAATGGCTTGGATCACTAGGTTTTCAAATTCACGGGGAAACCTTGGAACCCCAGAAATTTCCAGTACTTACTGCTTATTGATTATCTGGCAATTTAACAATCAATACGTGGAAGGTTCTGTGGAAAATCTGGCTGGATTCTACGCGTAGATGCTGAAATTAATGGTTATCCATCGTGAGCATCTTTTTGGAATTTCTTTTTCGTGATAAATCAGGATAGGAGCACTGCGCAAGGTGTGTTATGGGTCAGAGAGAAGCCCAACATTATAGATTGTATTGGATTGGGGTAGCGCAATAAAAATGAAAACAGCCAGTACTCAATGCGTGAGCATGACTAAGCTTTAGATGACAAGTGTCTCAACGCCCGTCGTGCATTGTGTCCTTGGGTGCGACCGTGGTGTTTCATATACTCCTTTCCATTATCCAGAACCCAAATCTTTTTCGCAATCGGAGAGCTCCATTCATCTCAGAAATGGGATAAATTTTAATGCGGACCCTCGCCTTATTTCGTGAAGTTGTGGAGATTTCATTATTCCAGTATACTTGTAAGCTTAGATTCCATTTACCTTCAAAGATAATTTGTTCAGTCCATAATTGTGCCAGAAGGCATCATGGCTTGATATGAATACTTTGAGATCGTTTGTAAAACTTACACGAGTGGCAGCAACATGCTTACAGGACCGTTGGTTCATAGCACAGTTGATAAGGATCTTGAGACAATATTTCATGCCGTAAATAATTACACACTTTAGGTATGCTTTTTGTCTCATCTTCCATGGTGCCACGATTACAAGTTTGCAGTGGATTTAAATGGGGCGCATATTTACTTCAGGGGTTGTACCCCAGTTAGCACCTATTTCGACAGGGTACATAATTATTGTCCTGGATTTCAAGGCCTAAAGAAATGGCACAATTTGGTTTCATTTCATCCTCAGTTTTATGCAAACCAAACCTGTTCCCTAATTCTTTGCCATCACTTTTATGACCGCCGACCGCTAAACAATTACACAGCTCTTCTCATCTTGTGCTTGAGTGACAATAAGAATAAGATTTCTCAAATACAAATCTATTTATCAAGAAGACACATGGCTTTACTCGATACCAACACTATTTTGTAGATGAATCCACCTCAAACCCCACCTTCAACACCTCGAATCAAACAATTATCCAGAGATCAAAACATTTTAGTAAGGCGAAAAATTAAATATGAACGGATGAAAATTAAAAGAAATTCTAAAATTTATGGGCTCAATGAATCTGGCTAAGGAGGGCAAGACTGAACACCTGTACGCGGTGTCCTCTACGAACCTGGGAGTGAAATATTCTCCCAGAGCCAAGTTCAGTCAAATTTCGCAATATCAAAGAAGTTGGCCCACGAGGCAAAAATTCAAATTACTCATCCACGTCGTTATTTCGCTCCCAACAAGTTTGACTCCTATCTTCGTCTCATCGAGTCTACAAGTACGACCAAGTACATCCTCATTCCAATGACCACACCACTCTTCGACCTTCTCTGGCCTCAGCTGGTCACCAAATACACGCCCACGCCGATATTTATACCCGATGGAGGAAGGAAAGCGTGGCGCACAAATCTGGGAGACAGTTCTTTGGGATGGATGTGAGAGGGATCTGGACAAGTTGACAAGATGATGCGAAGGACGGATATAACCTCGAAGGGCATGAGATTCCGAATTTTGGCAAGGAGTTTTTGGAATTGGGCTTTGTGCGCGCCAAGACTTCGCTTGCGAGAGTGCAGCTGACACTATAAAAACAAGCAAACGATGGAAGGTGTTGTGGTCCGCCTCCTGGTGGTGTTCTCCGGTATGGTTTGAGTAGCCTGGGCACCTACTCCACTTGGGAAGGAGATATCTCAGATCATATTTCGCGCGGAGAAAAGTTGATGGATGATGGAGGCATGTCTGGATAACTCAGGGTTTTTGAGACGTTCCCCTGAGTGGGTATTCACGGATGAGGGTTGACTTGGGGTGAAGAAAAAGCCACCATAACTTCGCAGTGGTACTTGCAAATGAAATCTGAGGCATGAGTGCTTTTCCTTAACGATGAATCATCTATTCTATACTTTTCTTTGATATTGTGTCATAGCTAGATAGCTGCATACGCAATTAAAATCTGATGCAAAAAAAAAAAAAAAAAAAAAAAAGAATCTGGCTAAATTCAGACGCAGATTACCGCGCATCTAGGCATTTCTCGGGGACAAGTTAGACATTCACTGCGCTGCGGAACTGTCTCACCCAAAAAATGAAAAAGAACATCCTCAAGACTG